AATATTTATTTTTGAGAGACAGAGACAGACAGACAGACAGAGTGAGAGCAAGGGAGGGGCAGAGAAAGAGGGAGACACAGAATCCAAAGCAGGCTCCAGGCTTTGTCTGAGCTGTCAGCACAGAGCCCAACACGGGGCTCGAATCCACGAACCATGAGATCATGACCTGAACCAAAGTCAGGTGCTTAACCAACTGAGCCACCAGGTGCCCCTATATACCTTTATTCTTGAGGGTCTGTTTTATCCCATAACTGTCCAAGAAGGTAGGTAGGGTTTATGTCTGGCTTGCTCACCACTTTATCCCCAGCACTCAAGACAATGCCTGGAACACAGTAAATATTCAAGAAACGATGAATCCAAACTTACAGTGAGGAAGTTGAGATTCAGCGAGGGGAAGTGACTCTTCCCAAACTGAGTGGGAGAACTTGGCTTCAGACTCAGACCTGTCCGGCTCCAAAAGCTAGTGCCCTGAACCTCTTTGCCAGGTATGCCCTCGCACCCTTGCCCATGACCCCTGGTGTCATGGGTCTGGTTAAGTGGGGGTGATGACAGGAACTTAATGTGTGAGGAAAGAATTAGAACAGGTGCAGGCGCCTGGCGCTGAGCCAGTGGGCGGTCCCTGCCTAGATAGGTAATGGAGGGGCGGGCCCATACTCCACGCCCAAGCAGCCACGCAGGATGACTAAGGGCCTTCCCTGGGCCCCACCTGGGACTCAATGACACAGCAAGTCTGGGGTGTGAGCGGCTGGTGGCAGGCAAGCAGCAGGGCTCTTGTGGCCAGTGGAAGCCTGTCCTTGTCCCCTCATCCCCCCAGTCCCCTTAACACCTGCCCTATGGGGACACCTCGCAGGTGGGATCTGGTTCCCTGTCTGTCCCTCTGCCTGCCTGAGTCCCAGCAGCCCCTTCCCTCCCACTCCCCCTCTGCAGGCAGGGCTTGCACCGCGCGGGCTGGAACCGTGGGTGCAGGTGGCAGTCTTGCGTGTGGGGCGGCAGAGGCAGGGCCGCTCCTCCTCGGGTCCCTGGGCTGTGTGTGCGCCATTTCTCACTCACCTTCTGGAGGTTTCCTGCAGGAGGTGGTCGAGGTGGGACTCAGAGGGCAGCCCCTGGGCCCTGAGAGGGTGGGAGAGTGAGCCATGTCACATGGCCCAGAAGAAATCGCTCACTAAGGCCAGGGATCTGTCAGCCTCCCCCGTCCCTGAACCGCTCTCACGCAGCCTGGGTCCTTGTGCCAGACAGAGAACTTGGGGGAGGGAAGGGACGGCACCCAGGGGCTTCTGGAGGAGGGCCTCATTTCCGGGCCGTAGGGTGGTCCAGTACAGCAAGCTGCTCTTGGCATTGGAAGTAGAGCCGGATGCGGAGAGGACAGGTAGGGGTGGGGGGGCAGGGCCGCACATGGGGAGTAGCTGGACATTCATCCAGGGACCCCTCCAGACGGGCCTGACGCATGCACTGTCTTTATGGCCCCAACAACTGTGTATGGAAGGGCTTCTCATGAAGAAACAGGCCAAGGCCCCAGGGTAGGGAGAGTGCGGCCGGGAGGCAGCCCCTTCTCTCTCCACACCACTGCTTCCCTGAGCCCCGATGAGGAGTGCCGGATGGAGAGAGCAGAGAGAGAACAAGGGCTCAGGAGAGGGTGGCAGGCACTGGAGATGTGCAGGAGCGGCCCAGATGTGGGAGAAAAGCCTGGACCTCTTAGCACCCAGGGAAGGGAGGGGAGCTGGCAGTGACCAGGGTTCCCTCAGTGCAGGCAGAAAATTGGCCAGATAAGTCCAAAATTCAGGGGACAGCCAGAGGTGACAGTCAACCTGGAGCACATGGCCTGTTAAGTCCTTGCCTTGCTGGTCCCCTGGGAGTTGGGTGTCCCCACAGGCGACCTGGCCTTCCTGTGTAGCCACAATGGAAGTCTGAGGATTACAGCCTGCAGCTCTGAGCTGAGGGAGGGTTAGGGCCAGCCCGGAGCTGGGGGAGCTGAGGAGGTGGTTGGGGGCAGGGTTTGGAGGGCTCGGGAACACGGCTGGGTAAGTGTCGTCTGTCACTAGAGCCATCTGGGCAGAGGTGCCCCCGCTGGGACCTTCTGGTCAGGCAGGCAGGTCTCAGCTGCCTCGACGCAGTCAGGCATGGACGTTCAGGAGCCCCCAGCACGAATGCATTTGCAGGGGGCGCACGCACAGGGCCCCAGAGGTGCTGCTCAGCTAGCTCTTGCCTCCCCTGTTCACTCCGGCTGCCCCGACCCCTCCTCCATCCAGCTCGGGCACCGAGACCTGGGCTTTGCATCCCAGAGTGGCAGCAGCTCATGGGGATCAGGGGAGGAGGTAAAAAGGAAGGGGCCTTCCCAGGGCTCCAATCACATGTCAGGTGCTGGGGTCACCAGCAGAGCTTGACGGGAACCAGGGAAAAGGTTTACAAAGAACACACTTGCCACTGACTTCAGTCTAAGAGTTTCCTGTGTGTTAGGCATTCACAAAATGCCTTCGATATTTTATGTATCACCTGTTTAATGTTTTAATATTTAATATTGATATTTTGTACTGCCCATTTAAATAGTTAATGCATTTTGGTACATCTGTTCACCTTTCATGTCTTTTTAAAAATTTTATTTATTAAAAATTTTTTTTAATGTTTATTTATTTTTGATGGGGAGAGAGAGAGAGAGACAGAGCACGAGTGGGGGAGGGGCAGAGAGAGAGGGAGACGCAGAATGTGAAGCAGGCTCCAGGCTCTGAGATGTCAGCGCAGAGCCCGATGCGGGGCTCGAACTCACAGACCGCGATATCATGACCTGAGCCGAAGTCGGACGTTTAACTGACTGAGCCACCTAGGCACCCCTAAATTTTATTTATTTAAATTTTTTTTAACATTTATTTATTTTTGAAAGAGAGAGAGAGACAGAGCTCTAGTGGGGGAGAGGCAGAGAGAGAGGGAGACAGAATCTGAAGCAGGCTCCAGGTTGCGAGCTGTCAGCACAGAGCCCAATGTGGGGCTCGAACCCATGAACTGTGAAATCATGACCTGAGCCAAAGTTGGAGGCTGAAGCGACTGAGTCACCCAGGTGTCCCTTATTTTTTAATGTTAGAGAGAGAAAGAGAGAGAGAGAGAGAGCAAGGGAGAGAGGCAGAGGGAGAGAGAGAGAGAGAGAGAGAGAGAGAGAGAGAGAGAGAATCCCAAGCAGGCTCCATGCTCAGTGTGGAGCCTGACTTGGGGCTCGAACCCACAACCCTGGGATCATGACCTGAGCTGAAATCAAGAGTTGGGCACTCAACCAACCCAGTTCAACAAATGGATGTTTATGAAGGAAATCCTTTATTACTCTATTACTAGCAAAAAATGAAAACCAGAATCACTTGCCAGAAATGGAAGGAAATAAATACTTAACTTAACTAGACACTGTTGCTTCCTGAAGGTTCTGAGCCCAAGGCCAGCTTTGGTCTGTGAAACAACGATTGGCAGTTACAGACGGGTGTTGAAGGGGCTGTAGAGTCCAGTTGAGATTTTCTCCTTGACTGATCAGAAAATTGAAAAATGGAAAAAGGGAATGTTTTCTTACCATGTGACTCTATTATTTAGCAGAGTCTCTGTGCATTGCCTAAAAGCATCTCAAGAAACACTGGTCCTTTGTGAAGCCTAAGCATCCTTTAGCTACAGCACAGAGGTCATTGCCTTTTCCAGAAGCTGTTGCTGACCACCCTGGCCTCTCTCTTTTCACCTTTATTTCTCTTTCAGCTCTTAGCACCTCCTAACTGGAATGACCGGTCGTCGTTCCTTTATTCCATGTGTGTTGGGATCCTACTTGGACGAGACACGGTGCTGGGCACCAGGACAAGTACAAGATGCATAAGCACGGGAAACTGCAATGGAGCAAAGTGCAAGGCCAAAGGGAGAGAACGCAGGAGGGCTTCCCGGAGGAGGGGGCACACAGATGGTTCGCTAGAGATGAGTAGGAGTCTCTGGGTAGAAAAGACGGAGGGATATTTGGACTGGAGCAAACTGGAAGCCCCGAGCATCATCTGAGGTTTGAAGGGTGTTTGGGAGCGTTGCGTGATTTGGTTAGGGGGTCTGGGGAACGGCAGCAGGTCAGGCTGGAATGGAAAGACTGGCCTGGGCCTTGAGTGTCAAGAGTGTGGACTTTCTCTTGGGGGTGAAGGGAAGTCAGTGGAGAACTGTGGTCACACCCAGGTCGGGAAAGACCACTTTCCCCAGGGGAGGAGTCTGGACTGAGCGAGGCAGGGAGAGCCGCTGCGAGCTGATGGTAAAGATCCAGGAGCGGGCAGAGTCCAGAGGGCCTCTGGGGCTGAAGGATCAGAGGTGGTGAAACCGTTTCTGGAGCCCTTCTCAAGCGTCTCTTCCTAGGAGATGGGCACACCGTTAACATCATCCTTTCACAGAGGAGAGAACGGAGGCACCGAGTAATTACATAACGTGGCAGAGTCACATGTCACACAGCTCGTGAGCGGGCAGCGGGGGTTGCCTCGGGTAGTCTGGCACCAGAGTCCCCTGCCTTTCTTACCGCTGTCTCCTGGCCCTGCTCACCAGAACACACTTCGGACCTTCTGCCAGGAGCAGGGGGCTTGCGCATTCCAGGAGGGCTGGGAAATCGCACATCTCTGTATCCCTCAGGGCTCAGTACGGACTAGGCAGTCAACCAAGGTCAATTCCATACCCGCTGCTGGGCCCTGCTGAAGGATCAGGACAGTGGAGCCCCTTGCCTTCCTGCTCCAAGGTCAGCCAGCCTCAGTACCACTGTCTTTATTCAGTCTTTCTCCCCGCATCCTTTGTGTGAACACAGCTTGCTATTTCCGAGCGCTGGTGGGCATGTGGCTGTGTTGCGGTCTTTCTGCCATGTCATTTGCTTCCTTCGTCACACTGGGGTTTCTGAGAGCAAGGACCGGGTTCCCCATCAGTCTGGGGCTCCGTGAGGGCAGGGGCTGGGCTTCCCACCATCACTGGCAGCTCTCTGTGGGCTGGGACTGTGCCTCCTCCATCCTCGGGGATGACCCCGTGGTCCCCCAGTCCTAGCCCACCCACAGTGCGCACTAGGTGGGAGCAGGGAGGGGTGCACACAGTGATAACCATCAGCGGGGGAGAAGACTCTACTCCTAGGAGTTCCTATCCCAGAGGGGCTAAGTCTCAGACCTGCTGCCGGGCCGGCTGGAGACCAAACGCCAGGATCTAGGTCACCCCCTTGGCGGCAGAGCTGATTTATGGTCCCCCTGACAGCCTAATATCACCAAATTACCCCACACAATGGAGAGAGGCTGGGCTGCCTCCGGGGAGTCAGAGAAGGACGCTGAGCCTGGGCGGCACTGCCGCCTCCCGATCGCAGACCTCCTTCAGGTCTGTGGGGGGAGGCTGGTGCCGACAGAGGGCACACCCAGGCATGCCACCTTCAGCTGGGGGTATAAGTAAGAAGCCTTGGGGACAGCCCTGTACCCTGCACTCGGGAACTAGCAGCGCTCTGACGACTGCCTCCTATCCCACGAGCTGCAGCAGGGCCAGCCATGAGTTGCAGACAATTCTCCTCCTCTTACCGGAGCCAAGGCAGCTCCAGGGGCGGCGGGGGCAGCATGATGTCCTCGTTCGGTCGCGTCAGCTCCTCAGGGGCCGCTGGAGGAGGGGGCCGATTCAGCTCTTCCAGTAGCTACGGAGGGGGGCGCTCCGGGGCCTGTGGGAGGGGAGGTGGTGGCAGTTTTGGCTCCAGCTACGGTGGAGGATCTGGGGGTGGTTTTAGTGCTGGTAGCTTCGGTGGAGGTTCCAGGCGCTTCGGTGGTGTGTCTGGAGGGGGCTTTGGGGGTGGATCTGGAGGAGGCTTTGGAGGCTCTGGGGGCTTTGGGGGTGGATCTGGAGGAGGCTTTGGAGGCTTTGGGGGCTTTGGGGGTGGATCTGGAGGAGGCTTTGGTTTTGGTGGCGGTTCTGCAGGAGGCTTTGGGGGATCTGGGGGCTTTGGCGGTGACTTTGATGGTGGTGCTGGTGGTATTCTGGGCGCTGATGAGAAGACCACCATGCAGAACCTCAATTTCCGGCTGGCCTCCTACTTGGAAAAGGTGCAGGCACTAGAGGAAGACAACAATAAACTGGAGGGTAAGATCCGGGAGTGGTATAACAAGCAGGGACCCATGGCCTTCCAAAAGGATTACTCCCCCTACTATGACACCATCGAAGACCTCAAGAACCAGGTAGGTGGGGAAACTCTGATCTTTCTCTCCTGGTGTCTCTGTCTCTCTTTCTCTCTCATACACACACACACACACACACACACACACACACACACACACTCACATGCTTCATCAACTTTCAGAGTCTGGGAAGAAGAGAGGACAGGCTTAGGTTAGCATGGGGGAGCCTGGGACTGGTTGTGGGGGGTCTCCTCTTGGCCTGACCCTAAGTTGGGAATGGAGAGGCAGTGTGGAGGGAGCACAGTGATGGAGGCACTGCCCTGGGAGCCAGTGATGCAGTCCTGGGTCTGCCATCAATTCACTATGCCCTCTCTGGGAAACCTGATGCCCTCTCTGGATCTGTTCTCCTACACATTTAATGCATGGGATGGGCAGACCAGCTCTTGTCCCTGTTGGTTCGAAACTTCTGTAATGATATGAAAAAAAAAATCCTGTTTGGAGCAGATCGTGTGGCTCAAGAGAGGAGGTAATCTGTGCGTGTCTCTCCTCTCACTCTTTAAGAATTTCGAACTTTCTAGTTTGGGAAACTTAGAAGTTGTATCTCTTCCTTCCTACTTCTCTTGGGCTTCTAGAGGGGCCTGTCTTGGTCTTTCCAGTTGGATGCAGACACACATGCTGGTTGTTTAAGGGGATGAAGAGGATCTAGAACTCCGGGGATGGAAGTAATCTACTTTTCCATACCCCCTACCTGCCCTTATCTACTCATCCTCCTACCACCCATTCATCTATATACCCACTCATCCAGCCAGCCATGTTTCTATCTATCCACTTATTCATCCACTCAATCTAGTGAATGACCACCCTCAGTGTTGCCTCCGGCAGACAAAGCGATGTACCAGACTTGGTCTCTGTCCTTGAGGAGCTCTCAGTTTAGCTAATTTGCCAAATGAATGAATGAATGAATGAATGAATGAATGTCACACTGAACATCCTTGCTGAAGTCTGTGAGGGGTATGTGCCAGGTACCAGCTGTTGGAAGCTTCTCCTACGTTTTAAGCATCTTCCCGGATGGGGCCATCATCTCTTATGGCTTTGCCTGGCCTCTTGCCTTCCCAGCAGTGGGTCATAGCAGAGGAGCATGGGCTCCATGCCATCTCCTCTGTTTTTAGATTCTGGACACCACAGTGGGCAACCATAAGACTCTCCTGGATCTTGACAACATTCGCATGACATTGGATGACTTCAGGATGAAGTGAGTCTGGCTGCCACTCCCTCTGCTGTCAACAATCTTTCTCCACCCCCTAGTGCTCTAAATGTCCCAGTAGGGACTTGTGCCCTCTTGCTCATTCCCACCCATGGCTGGTCTGCAGGTATGAGATGGAAAGCACCCTGCGACAAGGAGTGGAGGCTGACATCAATGGCTTGCGGAAGGTGCTGGATGATCTGACCATGCAAAAGTCTGACCTGGAAATGCAGTATGAGTCTCTGCAGGAGGAACTGATTTTCCTCAAGAAGAATCATGAGGATGTATGATACTGGCTACTTATGGCTTATTGAGGAGTGGGAGGAATGGAAGTGCAGAGACAATGGGGGGACAGCTATGGGGCATTGCCTGGGAGACACCCTCTCCGTGACTTTTGAGGACACTCTCCCAGTGCCTCCTTAGCAGTGCCTATGGTGGTGATTGGGCTTTGCCTTCCCAACTGTGCCCCTTTTTTGTACCTCTGGGAAAGCAGGGAGGGCTAAAATGTGGTGGAGAGGATCCTACCCCTTGACCTCATAGACCCATCATCCCTGGCAGGAGATGAATCAGCTGACTGGGCAGAACTCTGGGGATGTCAACGTGGAGATGAATGCTGCTCCTGGCAAAGATCTCACCAAGATCCTCAATGACATGCGCGAGCAGTATGAGAGGATCAGTGCTAAGAACCGTAGGGACATTGAAGAGCAATATGAGACTCAGGTGAGCAGAGTGGGCTGCCCATTCAACCATCTCTCCTTCTTCCATGCATCCCTCCATTCCTCCACCCCATCCCTCTCTCCTCCCACCCCTCCATCTCTCGGTTCAGCTGTCCTCCATCCAGCTTCAGTAATTGCCCACAAACATGATTACTGAGTGGCTTGTCAGTGACAGCTTTATGTGAAGTCCTAATGTCTCAGACATGAGCCAATAAGATTGCTGCTCTCAAGAAGCTCACAATTTATTACATGTGTGAACAAAGGCAGAGCATGAACAACTCATGTAAGTCTACGTGCTATCAGACCCCCCAGTAGAGGTGTGTGGTGTGCCTCTTATACCACACTGAGCTCTCTGATGTCTTCCTTTCTCCTTGAGCCTCCAGAGCCTACCACACGACCCTGGCATATGAGGGCATGGTCTCTAGTGTGTGTGTGTGTGCTTGTGTGTGTGTGTTTGGGGGTCGGTTTGAAATGAGGTTAGAAAGGTGGTTTGGGGACAAGTGTGAAGAATCTTAGAGCCTTGCTGGGAGGGAATGTTAAGTTGAGAGAATTGGATTACTCTGGCTGGCTAGCAGACCCAGGACTCAGGATAACTTGTCTTTGGTTTTGGCTCACTCTTGGTCCTGGAGGCAAAGGTCCGGGTGAGTGGGGCAGAACCTTCTCCATTGCAGCTTCTGGTCCAGCCTGGTTCTCACTGAGTTCTTGGGTTTTCAGATGAGCCAGATGGAGCAGGAAGTGACGAATAGTGGCCGGGAGATGGAGTCCAGCAACAAGGAGGTGACCCAGCTCCGGCACAGCATCCAGGAGATGGAGATTGAGCTGCAGTCTCAGCTCAGCAAGGTTGGCCGTTCTGCTCTAGACCCTTTGCCAACGTGAGGCACAGGAGGCTTGACATAATCCCCAGGAGTGGGAAGGGGAGGAGCTATGATGTAGCATCCCTCTTATAGCCTCCTCATGCCCCCTAGAAATCGGCCCTGGAGAAGTCCTTGGAAGACACCAAGAACCGCTACTGTGGCCAGCTGCAGCAGTTGCAGGAGCAGATCAGTAACCTGGAGGCTCAGCTCACTGAGATCCGGGGAGAGATTGAGTGCCAGAATCAGGAATATAGCGTTCTGCTCAACATCAAGACACGGCTGGAGCAGGAAATTGCGACTTACCGCAGCCTCCTTGAGGGTGGCCAGGAGGACTTGTAGGTGCCCCAGGATTCTGTGGAATCCCTAGGAATTTATAAGTCCCTGACATTGCATCTGTCTCTCTGGACACAGGCAGTTGGGAAAGTTCCTGTACACAGGGTCTTATGGGTTGAGGACTTCTTCATTCGGTGGGGGAGCTCAGGGCATCTGGGCTTTGGGAAAGGAGGTTGGTAACAATGAGAAAAGGGACTACTCCTTGTTCCAGGGAGAGGGAGGCTCTCCTTTCCAGCTGTGGTGCCAGCCTAGTCTGTCCTCTAGCTTGCAGAAGGAAAACTCAGGAAGATTCACATTTGGGTCTTGACTCTGTCCAGGTCCATCCTTGTATATGTAGTGGGGTCTCTCATTTTCTCTCTGTGTTATCTTTCATTCTCAGTGAATCTCATGAATCTGGACAAAGGTACTCTGGAGGTGGCAGAGGAAGTGGATATCACGGTGGAAGTGGAGGCAGTCATGGAAGAGGATCCTGGGGAGGAAGTGGAGGTAGCCATGGAAGAGGAAGTGGAGGCAGCTATGGAGGAAGAGGTAGTTCTGGAGGAGGAAGTGGAGGTAGCCATGGAGGAGGAAGTGGTGGCAGCTATGGTGGAGGAAGTAGTTCTGGAGGAGGAAGTGGAGGCAGGAGAGGAAGTGGTGGCAGCTGTGAAGAAGGAAGTGGATCTGGAGGAGGAAGTGGTGGCAGCTACGGAGGAGGAAGTGGATCTGGAGGAGGAAGTGGCGGCAGCTACGGAGGAGGAAGTGGATCTGGAGGAGGAAGTGGTGGCAGCTATGGAGGAGGAAGTGGAAGATCATCTCAGTCCCAGTCCTCTTCCTCAAAATCTGGTGAATGTGATGATACACAAGGTAAGGGACAACTCTAGCTCATGGGGTCAGGGAGGCACGGGTGTTAAGCTGTCATGGTACCACCCCTTTTTGAGTATCTTTGAGCTTCTCTAGGGGATACATACTCTGAACAGAGCTAGATTTTAGGGAGGTCTCTAGTAAGGTGTTATAGACTTGCCCTTATTTCTTAATTATCATTAATTTTGACAAACCTTTGGGTGAGGCTAGGACCAAATCTACATGGCCTGAGTCTCCATAGCTTAGGAGTTTGGTTGGAAATTGTGCATTATCTTATATGTTTCCCATCACACCCTATGAGGTGGTATTATTATTCCCATTTTAGAGATAAGGGAAATGAGGTTCAGAGAAGAGAAGTAGCTTATTCAAGGTCATACAATCAATAAATGAGGAACTCAGCTCTGTGGGTCTCCACAGCCAATACTTTCCATCATCATGAGGATGGGAAGACCTGGATTGGCAACATTTCAGGTAGAAAAGAGGTTCAGGTACTGTAGTCAGTGGTTGGCTCATACAAGTCAATTATATGGTGCAACTATCTAAAGGGGCATACACTGAACAGAAAAGTCTAATGTAAGAGTCACACCGTGAAGTGGTCTCTAGGTCAGAGAAAGTTTCCCCTTGTGCATGTTGAATTTTATGAATTATATGAAATTGTAGTAAAAAGTCTGGGTAACATGACCGGGGATTTTAGCTCAGAGAAACCTTGAGGTGCATGGAAGCTGTCCTTGTCTAGGGTGTCTGGTGTGGTTTTGTGCAACAAGAGGAACCACAGGGCCATGGATGTGCATGTATGGGCAGAGGCTGGGCCATACTTACCTCAACATCCAAGAAATGTACTAATAAGGCTATTGAATGGAAGAGGGACCAGGCTCATGAAACTTCATCTTCAGAAATGGGACAGTATCAGTCAGGGCTGCTGCAGGAGACCTTTAGGAATTGGATGGGGGCCACTAGGACCCCAAGGTCCTTCCAGCTCTTTGAGCTCCAGTCTCCTCGCTCTCCGTTTGCCTATCTTTCTCTAAGTCTTGGTTTCTCTGTCTCGTGTTCTAAGTCCTCCCTTCTCACCCTTACCTCTCTTCCGTCTCTCTACAGGCTATCAGATTCGATACTAGAGCTCCTGTAAATGTTTTTGGCTCCGCCTCAGCTGAGTGTCCCCCAGACAGGCAGCCCCCCAACAAAGCCTGCTTATTGCCTTCTGACATCAAGGATGGCTGGCAACAAGTCCCAGGGCTCATTTGGGACTGGGCTGAATGGGCATGTGTGCCTCTGGCTGCTCACTGGCTCCCTCCCCTAGGAGGGTTGGGGAGACCTCTCTTCCAACTGTCTGGTCTGGGGGTGATCCCACTTCCTGCCTGATCTCAATTTCCCAATAAAGCTTTCCTACTGCAAATCAAACTTGGACTTTGACCCATTTGTTCTTTGGGATTAAGAAGGGACAGAAAGGAGGTGAAGGGAGAATCAACTGAATCCACTTTGCAAAGTGTTGGTCAGGTTTTCTATCAATTGACTTTTGCTTGTAACAAAGCAACCCACGATTTAGTGGCTTAAAATAATAATCATTTATTTAGCTCATGATTTTGCAGTTGGCAGTTTAGACTGGGCAGTTCCATTTTCCTTCAAGCATCTGTGGCCAACTGCAATTTGGCTAGCTGCTCTGCCTCTGGGGCTTGGCTACATGCTGCCTGGGGGTGCTGGGGGTGAATGACACACATACTTCTCATCCTCCAGTTGGCTAGCTCAAGCAAGTGTCTCAGGAGAGTGAGTGGTAGTGTGCAAGGCCTCTTGGGGCTTGGGCTCAGAGTAGTCACTTTGGCTCTATCTTACTGCCCAAAACAACTCCCAGCCTTGGCCAGATTCAAAAGCAGGGGAAATAGACTCTTCCTGATGGGAGGAGCTACAAAGTCACAGGGCAAGGACATGGATATAGGGAGGGCAATGACTGAGGCCAGTTTTTGCAAACAATCTGCCATAGCCTATTAGCAGGTCCTATGTCTGATACAGAGAGAAAGAAGGCAAACACCATGTAGTTTTTGCTTTGGAAGATTTCACAGATGGCAAAAAATATAGCCCAAATAAAAGAGCTCCAAGGCAGAGTAAGGGATATTGTATATCCCTTGACATATATCCCTGTCAACAATGTTGACAGCAACCAACAATGTTCTCCAAAGATTCTGATGGGCCTGATATAGAATTACTTTTCCTGACAAGGGATGGACAGCCCCTCAGCCTGTGTTCCGGATATTATCACAGCTGATGTTAAACCCCCCAAAGCTTGGAAGCTTAAAACAATAACATTGATTTGGGGGCTTGGTGGGGACAGCTCACCTCTGTTCCACTTGGTGTCATTGTGCCTCACAGGCTGGAGTCATTTGAAGTCTTACTCACCTGTCTGGCACCTGGGCTGGAAAGACTCAAATGTGGGGGCTGGCCCTGCAGGGGCTCCTCAGTAGCTTTGTATGGAGATTCTCAGTGTGACCCTTCCAGCAGGGTAGCTTCAGGGTAGCCAGAATTCTTACATGCTGGAAGAAGTTGTTTTGCTTTATTATCTAGACTTGGGTGTCATGCAGGGTTCCCCTCTATTGTAGTGCTCGGGCCTGCTGAGATCCAAGGGAGGAAGCATAGACCTTGCAGGGGGCAGGATTCTAAGATGACCCCAGTTATTCAATCAAACATGAACCTAGGTATTGCTACGAAGGGATTTTGGAGAAATAATTAAGGTCTCTACTGTGTTGACCTTAAGATAGGGACATTATCCAGTGGGCCTGACATAATCATATAAGCTCTTTAAAAGGAGAGAGTTTTCTCTGGATGATCATAGAAGAGGAAGTCAGAGATGTGAAGCGCAAGATTTTGATTTGCCATTGCTGGCTTGAAGATGAAAAGGGGCATATGGCAAGAAATGTGGGTGGCCTCTAGAAGCTGAGAGCCACCCCGAAAAAGGGGACCTTGGTCCTCCAGCTGCAAAGAACGGATTTTTTTCCAAAAACAAGAAAGAGTTTGGAAGCAGATTTTCCACCAGAGTCTCCAGATGAGGACTCAGACTGGCCAACATCTTGATTTCAGCCTTGTAACACCCTTCACAGAAAACACCTGCAGAGCTGTGAGCTAATAAATGGGTGCTGTTTTAAGCTTAAAAATTTGCAGCAATTTTTAAAGCAGGAATAGAAAACAAGTACAGATCCCATATCAAGATGGAGGAGTGTCAATGTCACATTGAAGATCAGCATGTGGAATGGGATATAGTGATCTTTGGAAAATACACTTTTAAAAAACACATTTAAAAAACCACACTTTATTTATTTGTTTGGAGGTGGGGAGAAGGGCAGAGAGAGAGAAGGAGAGAGAAAATCCCAAGCAGGCTCCATGCTGTCTGCCCAGAGCCCGATGTGGGGCTCGATTTCACGAATCATGAGATCATGACTTGAGCCGAAATCAAGAGTTGGATGCCTAACCGACTGAGCCACCCAGGCGCCCTGGGAAAGCAAAATATGCCACAGATTGGCCAAATTATTGGGGGAGAGGTTGCATAAAGGTAAACTTAGGACAACAAGTGACACGGAAGCTCAGGAAAACCCAAGACCCTGGGGTTTATGAAGATGGAAGCTGGATAGTGTCTCTGGGTCCAAGATGGCTCTAGCAAGTTGCTGGAGCAGTGAGAATTTGTGATCATTTCGCTAGTGCTCCACCCTTACTGTGCCACTGGTTATTCTCTTCTCTGGTTCTCTTCCTGCTTCCAGCTGTCTTCCTCTCCTACCACTTTAATCTTCTCTCTACCTTTCTACCTCAAGATTGTCCATCTTGAGTCTGAGGCTTCCCAAGGGAGAAGCCAGAACCTTGCTTTCCCAACCTCCCTTGCAGCTAGGGCACGTGCATGTGACCCAGCTCTGCCAATCAGGTGCTCCCACACAAGACTTTGGTTTGAACGTGAAGGAATCTAATATGGCAGGAACAGAGCTGGGGCAGAGACACACAGGGGATGTTTACTGAGGCCACAGTAGTGGTGGCCCTGCAGGGATATGCAGTGCTCAACATGAACAGTTTAAGCTGCAATGTCTGTCCAGCAGCAACAGCCGTGGTGTCTTCCTGGCAAAATCCTTTAGAACGATTTGAGCATTGTTTCTGGTTGCATATACTCCAAGTCTGATTCTCTGCATATCCTGGGAAAGATGTACTTCTTTCTCTGTAGATGAAAGCAAACACATTCTGTTATTCTTTGCTCATTGGGATAAGGAAAGAAGAGTTTTCCACATCAGGGGCCAGAGACTATGGTGGTCTGTTCTAGTACGTAGACCAAATGTGGGTCAATGATTGCTATTGGAATAGCCATGTGATACATTGTAAAATAACCATCCCCTCACATCTGTTTGTATTCTACACAGGGAAAATGGCAAGTTAATTGGGAAGTGATCAGAGGCATCAACTCTGAATTTATCAAGTCTTTTCTGAGGTGCTAATCTCTGTCATTCTCTTAGAAATGTCGTGTTATTGGCTCTTCTTTCCACACTAATCTATACTCCATGGGTCAGGGAGCCATTTATTGACTATATAGATTCCATTGCAGACACTAGGAAATAACCACAAGATGGGTCTAGGGTACTACTGAGCTCACGAGAAGCAGACTTAAATCAAAACTCCATTTGTGGGGCACCTGTGTGGCTCAGTTGGTTAAGCATCTGATCTTGATTTTGGCTCAGATAGTGATCTCACAGTTTGTGGGTTTGAGCCCTGCGTCAGGCTCCATGCTGACAGTGCAGAGCCTGCTTGGGATTCTCTCTCTCCCTCTCTCTCTGCCCCTCCCCTGCTCGTGCACCACCCCCTCTCTCCTTTTCTCTCAAAATAAATAAATAAACCTAAAAAACCCCCTTAACTTGCTATCTGATCCTCTGTATTGGTCAGGTTCTCAGGTGCAACCAACAAAAGCAACTTTGCCTATTTTAACAAGTAAGGGATTTATAAGAGCTCCTGATACTTTGAAGAATCATCAAGAGACAATTAGGAAACAAAATTGGGGCTAAGTTTCTAGTGCCTCCCAAAATGACACAGCAGAATGGGTCTGCCAAGGGCATTGTTGCCTCTGGCGTGAGTAGGGAGTTTCCAAGTCAGGATGCGGCCTGCTGAATTAAGAAACAGCATCTACAGCCAGAGCTTCAGAACCAGGCTGTCTCTGCCATCGAGCCAGCAAACTGGATGTCCCAAGTGGAGCCCATTTCTTCATATACCTCCCTTCTAAATTAAGGATCACATGGTGCAGAACCTCATTTCAATGGCAAAGGAGGCTGGGAAATGTAGTTTTTGGATGTACCTGGGAAAGAATAGTGATCAAATGACAGATATAACATAAACACGCATAAGCTTCCAGTCTTGAACCACAGTGTTGTGCTGCTAACCTCCAATTTTCAGGGATTAGAGTTAGTGTGGAGCCAGTGTCCAATAATCCATGAAAGTCTGGGTACTTTTCTCCCCCCAGTACATAGCTACTCTTGTAAATGCCCACAGGTTCCTATGGGGAAGATTAGGAGGTAGACATACAGTATGTGCTTATAATTTATGGCAGAGTCCTTCCTCAAGGGTACCCAGACTTCCTTTTATTCAGAGTTCTCTGCATCTATGAGATAGTTCTGATTTAGGAATTCAATGAGTCTGTCATTCTCCATTATGGGGCTTAAGACAGGCCTATTCTTGACCTAAAGGTTTCTTTTTGGAGTGTGGGGTAGGGAAGTGGGGCAGGTATGGAAGACCCACTTGCTGATATCAGTCCCACATCCTTCTAGTAAGCATTCCTGTACTCTAAAGGCCGATAATCTTAGAACTATCTTTCCCAGACTCCCTTACAGCTATGGCTGTAGGAGAAATTTAGGTTTTTGCCAACACATACACTTCTGTGGGACATGAATCGAGTGGGGAGAGGTCTGGAGTGGAGAGTGTTTTTGCTGGTATAGATCTACCGGGTATGACATGGTCCCGGAGTCAACAGAACTATTTCTGGCTTACAGATTCCCAAGGTCTCTGATTGTGGCAACCAGGAGCTCCCTTTCAGTCTGGTTCTGTGGTGTTAATCTGGGAGCTATTCCCAGGGGCCCAATCCAGTGTCTGTTCCTCCAAGCTTCTTATGATTTTGTAAGCACCTAATGCTCTGTATTAAGTTCCTTTTGGTTAGGAGAAAAGTGAGATTTGTTTCTGTTACTTAATACTGAATCCTGACTGAATCAAGACCTTGGTGGGCGGTGCATATATTTTGGTCCTAGAAACCCATGAACAACTGACCATAATCAGGGATCCCTAGAGATTTTATCATTCTACCTTCTGTTCTAGCCTGCTAGCATTGAAATGCCCCTAATTGTCCTCTGCCACATAGAATCCCATTATTATTGAAGTAGAAATCCTCATTCAGCTGT